TGCATTACATAAATTTGAATGCAAAATGTTCAATTATGAAGTAAATACAGGTAATGCAAATAATAAATTACCTCTAATAAAAATTATAAAAGATGTGTCTTCAAAGAGAGAGCGGCTCTAACTTACAACTGTGAATTGCTTAAAGAGAAAAGAATTAATAAATGCTGAATTACTCTGATGATTATTTAGCACATAATTCACCTATTCATAACGACTCCTAATCAGGCTGTTGTTTCACATTCTCCAATATGAAGCAAGACTATTTCCTCAGCAATTTTACCCTTATCAGATTATCTCATCTGATTCTATTAATTTTCCTCCATGAATCTGCTAACAGTGACTTGTGATTTTCTTACCTTGCTAACTAAAGACTGTTAAAAGGATTTATCTACCCCTAGACCTAAGAACATTATATGCCTTATCACTCAGTTACTCCGAACAACTCTTGTCTCAAATCAATTTCGTTGGTTCCATAGTGAAATTTAGTGGACACTGGTTAGTTCTGCACCATAAAATCAGCTCCTGGATAAACAAAGAGTTCAGAGTCTACACTTGGTGAATCGTGTTCTTTTTAGATTATAGATATCTGATTCCAACATGATGTACTTGAGTTGCTATATAGCTCACAATCAGGAAAAATACATCATTGTTAGCTTTTTAATCACTGTAATTTGGACACGAACAGGTTTTGGACTTTCTGTGTGCTTTTTTTGTTTCTGCTTGAAGTTATTACGTCTGGACTGACATGAAACTACAACTGTGTGATGTTACTGTTTCACAATCTTCTACATGATTCGACCCATGCCCTCCCCCCCCACAACCCAGATTCTTCTATAAATATTCACTGCTTTCAAAAACTTTAATACTACTGGTTTGAATTGGTCAGTAATGACAAATAAATGGTTTCTAAATTACTCTGTATTGTTCTACAGAGATTACTAGAGTATATATAGCAAAGATATATTAAGCAGTGAGAAAACACAGCTAATATTGTATTTGGATTAGTTTGGCTTGGATAGAAGTGAAACAAACAATGTTAGCAAAGAAGTCTAAAGAAATGTGGCCTGCTGTAATTGTAGAGAATCAAAGACCTGAATGGTACTAATTAAAATGAGAGAGCTCATTGTTATAAAAGAAATACCACTAACAGAGGACTGTAAATGTTTAGACACCCCTGTGAATCACTAAATAATAAAGTAAAAAGGACAAAAATGAGAATTAAGTTATAAGTCTGAGAGCGCTGGTGGTACACATCTAAAAAATAATCTGATCCTCTTTTTCCGAGAGAAAATGGGAGACCATAAAAGACTCTGCAATAAGAAAGAAAAATACCATGGCTTGACAGCAGTGCACAAAAATAAACCATAAAAAATGTGCAGATAATAATACATTTAGCTGCCCAAACATGGGCATTTAATTTCTAGAAATGACATATAATTGCAACAATTAGGTGCACGCCCGGCCATGAATCTATACCTCCCATCCCCACCCCGGGGTCTCTGTCATTAGCGAACTTTATTTATAAATGTTGTTTGTTTATAAATACAATAGTTTCAGTGATCCTGGCCAAAAATACTTTCATGAGAGGCAGGGATCATATCTTACGGCTTTTAACAAAAATGTGATCCTGAAGGATTAAAAAAAAAAAACAATTATCATAGACAAAAAATGAATTAATTCTTCCTAAATACACTTAAATTCAAGTTTACATGAAAAATACAAACTTCGGACTTTTGTAGCTAATGATTTAAAAAGACCTAGAAAACTATTGCCATGGACAATGTTAAATGACATAATATGTTCATGTAATTTAAGCAGTGGATTTTCCTCTGAATACATAAACTACAATCCCCTAACTTCATTACTAGATAAGGGGAGGAATGCAAAGGAACTTTGTTAGGTTGCCATAATCTTCACTCTTCCTCAGACTGATAATGGACGCTTCATTCCATCCCTACAAAGTACTCCATAAAACCAAAACTACCCTTACAAACAGCTTTTCTGCAGCAATGATAAAAAGAAAAAGTGCTTTTCTGGAAAGTCACAACAGCATTGGCCTTTGGGGGTTATGATGTGCTTACAAACCTTCTGGGGAGTCTCTCATTAGGGACTGCCCAGTCTGCTGAAATTGAGGGCTGCTCAGCGCCGGAGAAATTAACCCAAATCTAATCTGGTGTATGAAGCCAATGAGTGACACCTAAGGTCTCATTATAAACAGTAAAGTATGCAGGGTGGGTGAGAGCTTTCTGAAGTGCCGTGTTCAAGAAGCTGGCTTAATATATGACTAAGTGTCAGAAGTCAGGTTTTCTGAGAATTACTTTTCAGATAAACAACTTTATAGCACTGTACTTAATCTTACTGACTAGAGACATCTCATTTATCACTGAATTACAAGTAACTTTAATTCTATTGGTATTGCCATAAAGCCCGTTGAAAATCCATCTTGGTACTTTTAAAAGGTTTGGGGCCCTGTTACATGGGAAGAACTTGCATCAGCCTCTCAGTAGAATTACACTCCGGAAGTCTTCTGTGTCCCTGGCCTCTTTGTCCACAATCAAGGGGAGCAGTGGGGAAAATGAGTCCCGCATCTGCCAGCACTGTTCTTAGCCCCTTACCTACCAGGTCGGGCTCTCCCACTGAAATCACACTAACAAACTTTCTGTGTCTCTTTCCTCCTCCCACCTCGGGAAACCAGCTGCTTTTCACTCCAACAAAACTGGACGCAAATCAATTTTAACTGACCTTTGCCGAAAGGTGGCGCTGTTGAGGTAAAAACCAACTCGCTCCAACAACAGTTTTCACTCTTCGATCCTTCTGCAGGCTTTTCAGAATTTTTTTTAAAGCGCCCTCCAGAGTTCCACACCCCTCCCCCCGCCATAAAGTAAAGTAAATATGATTAACAGCAAATGCATTTCATTAATTGGAGGAATCCACAATCCCCGTGTCCAAGCAGGAGGGCTGGTTGTCCAAACGCCGGGTCGGCTGCGAGCGCTCTTGCTACCAGCCTCCCCTACCCCCCAAATAAATCTCGGCTTCTCCGACTTGCCTATCGCTTTAAAATCTTAGAAACAGAGTTGTCGGTTCTTTCTTTACCCCTTTCTTGTTCTCTCTTTCCTTTTTCTTTCTTGCATACGCTTTAAAAGAATCGATCAGGAGAATTGAACGGTTATTAGCATCTGCCACGGGGAGGTGGAAAAGCAGCCCCCCCACCCCGCGCCCGACTCTGGGTTTCCGGGCTTGTCCGAGAAACTGCTGTTTAAAAGTTAACCCTTCGAGGGAAGCTAGTGAAGGCTGGGGTGTGTTTTTTCCCCCTTGTTCCTCGCCACGATCAAGTCCGAAAAAATTAAGTGAAACGTGCAAGTGCAAAGGGCGTGCGGGACCCTGATAAACAGGAGTCAGATTTCATGAGGGTGGGTGAACGTGTGTGCGTGTGCGTGTGTGAGTGTGCGTGTGAGAGAGAGACAGAGAGAGAAGCAGGGAGGGAGGGATAGGAGAAAATCTCCAGGGCCAAACCCGGGCCAGAATCAGAAGCCGGAGGGCCGAGCCCGGCTGACAGGACCCAGAGCTTTCCCGGAGTTAACTTGCGGAGGCGCTGGCTCCCCCCAAGGGCACGGGACGCCAGCGGGCGGCCAGTCCCCGCGCGTAAAGGCCCCTGGACAACTTATTCACCTCCTTTAAAGAGAGTGATAAAACGGGCTTCCTCGCTCGGCGGACCCCGAACAGCCACTGCGGGCGCGCGGCTGGGCGGCGTCCTGCGCTCAGTCCGGATCCTTGCACCCCGCGCGCGGACACCGGGGCCAGGGACAAAGAGTTGGGTCAAGTTTGAGCTCCAGGCACAGCCAACCTCGGGGGAATAAAGCCCCCTGGGCAGACACCTGGATGCCGAAGGTAGAGCGAGGAGAAAGCTGCCAAGCCAATGCCCATCCCGGAGTTGGGGGCAGGCAGCGGAGGGGAGCCAGTCCAAACCCCTCAGAGTGAGGGGAGCCGGCTGGGGCTCCGCAAGGCAGGCCTCTCTTGCGCTCCGAAGTAAAGCAAACCGGGGTCCTCCCGGGTTTCCGCAGCCCCTCTGGAAAACTCCTTCCCCGCTTGCACCAAACTTTGCTCCTGGCTTTGCTCCCTCCCGCGGAGGCTGCGGCGCGGGAAGGGTTAAGCCAGCGCGTCCCAGCTGACAGTCAGCTGATTGGGCCCTGATTGACAGCTCGGAAAAGTTTCCTTGTTTCTATACTATTATGCTAATCGCGGCCGCTCTCGCCGCCTTCTATTGGCCCGGAGTACCAGTCAATTTCCCATTTGGGTCTGACGTCACCAGTACTATAAAACTCAGCAATTGCTTTAAACTCTTCTTGCTGGATCAGAGGCTTTAAAATCTTTTTTCATCTTCGAGCTGCAGCTCGGGTTGCTCGTCGGCTCGGCCTTCCCCCTTTTGCTCTCTGCCTCGCTTTTCCCCAGGACTTCGCTATTTTGCTTTAAAAAAAAAAAGGCAAGAAAGAACTAAACTCCCTCCTCCCTTCCCTCCAGCCGGGTTGCACCTCCGTCTTGCACTTTGCACGGAGGGAGTGAGAGCGCGCCAGGGAGAGAGACAGAGAGAGAGAGAGAGGAGAGAGAGAAAGAGAGAGAGAGAGAGAGAGAGAGGAAAGCAAAAAATAAAAAATAAAAAGCCAGGCAGAAGAGGAGGCGAGAAGCATGAAGTGTTAACTCCCCCGTGCGAAGGCCCGCGCCGCCGGGACAGCCTCCCGCCGCGCCTCCAGCCCCGAGCGGCCGCCGCGCGCGCCCCGCCTGCAGCCGGGCCGGAGAGGCGAGCCCTCCTTATGCAAAGAGCGCAGCGGAGCGGCGAGCGGGGGACGCCGCGCACCGGGCCGGGCTCCTCCGGCTTCACCGTCACCGCAGCCCGCGGAGGACCTTCCCGAGCCTGAAGCCGCCGGCTCGGTGCGCACGGAGGCGAGCAGGCGAGGAGGGGGCCGGGGCGAGCGAGCAAGCACATTGGCGTGAGCAGGGGGGAGGGAGGGCGGGAGCGGGGGGCGCGGGCAGGGCGGGGGTGTGTGTGCGCGCTCGGAGATTTCGGGCCAGCCGCCGCCGCGCGATACAGAAGCGCCCCAGCCCGGCAAGCTGGCTCACCCGCTGGCCACCCAGCACAGCCCGCTGGCCCCTCTCCTGCAGCCCATCTGGCGGAGCGGCGGCGGCGGCGGCGGCAGGAGAATGGCATCAGAACTGGCAATGAGCAACTCCGACCTGCCCACCAGTCCCCTGGCCATGGAATATGTTAATGACTTCGATCTGATGAAGTTTGAAGTGAAAAAGGAACCGGTGGAGACCGACCGCATCATCAGCCAGTGCGGCCGTCTCATCGCCGGGGGCTCGCTGTCCTCCACCCCCATGAGCACGCCGTGCAGCTCGGTGCCCCCTTCCCCCAGCTTCTCGGCGCCCAGCCCGGGCTCGGGCAGCGAGCAGAAGGCGCACCTGGAAGACTACTACTGGATGACCGGCTACCCGCAGCAGCTGAACCCCGAGGCGCTGGGCTTCAGCCCCGAGGACGCGGTCGAGGCGCTCATCAGCAACAGCCACCAGCTCCAGGGCGGCTTCGATGGCTACGCGCGCGGGGCGCAGCAGCTGGCCTCGGCGGCCGGGGCCGGCGCCGGCGCCTCCCTGGGCGGCAGCGGCGAGGAGATGGGCCCCGCCGCCGCCGTGGTGTCCGCCGTGATCGCCGCGGCCGCCGCGCAGAGCGGCGCGGGCCCGCACTACCACCACCACCACCACCACCACGCCGCCGGTCACCACCACCACCCGACGGCCGGCGCACCCGGCGCCGCGGGCAGCGCGTCCGCCTCGGCCGGTGGCGCGGGCGGCGCGGGCGGCGGCGGCCCGGCCAGCGGCGGCGGCGGCGGCGGCGGCGGCGGCGGGGGCGCGGCGGGGGCGGGGGGCGCCCTGCACCCGCACCACGCCGCCAGCGGCCTGCACTTCGACGACCGCTTCTCCGACGAGCAGCTGGTGACCATGTCAGTGCGCGAGCTGAACCGGCAGCTGCGCGGGGTCAGCAAGGAGGAGGTGATCCGGCTGAAGCAGAAGAGGCGGACCCTGAAAAACCGCGGCTATGCCCAGTCCTGCCGCTTCAAGAGGGTGCAGCAGAGACACGTCCTGGAGTCCGAGAAGAACCAGCTGCTGCAGCAGGTCGACCACCTCAAGCAGGAGATCTCCAGGCTGGTGCGCGAGAGGGACGCGTACAAGGAGAAATACGAGAAGTTGGTGAGCAGCGGCTTCCGAGAAAACGGCTCGAGCAGCGACAACCCGTCCTCTCCCGAGTTTTTCATGTGAGTCTGACACGCGATCCCAGCTCGCCACCTTGATAAGTGCTCCGTGGGGGTCCGACTCGGGTGTGGGCTTGCTAGATCCAGAGCCGTGCTCGCCACCACCTCGCCCTCTCCCCTGCCGAGCTTGCCCCTGCACGCACACACACACACACACACGCACATACACACACCCCACACCCTGCTCGAGTTGGTGGTGGTGGCTGTTTTAAAATTGGGGAGGGAGTGGATGTCTGGCTCCTGGATTGCCAATCTGAAATTCTCCGTAACTTGCTAGTCTGTTTTTTTTTTCAACACCCCCCCAACCCCATCCTTGCACAATTCAAAGATCTCAGCAGAGTTCATGCTCACCCTTGAAGACTGCATCATTCACGTATACATATTTTTTCTTCAGTTCATGAGCTGGTGTTCATTTTGTGTGTGTGTGTGTTTTATTTTGTTTGGCTTTTTTATTTTACTTTTTGGAGCTTGCTGTGTTTCCCTTTTTCTCCAACCTCTACCCTCACTCCCTCACCACCCATCTCTTCTGAGATAAAAGACAAAAAAAAAAAAGCTAAGTTTTTTCCCCTCCTCCTGAGTTCTTCATGTGAGATTGAGCTTGCAAAGGAAAAAAAAATGTGAAATGTTATAGACTTGCAGCGTGCTGAGTTCCATCGGGTTTTTTTTAGCATTGTTATGCTAAAATAGAGAAAAAAAAAACTTCGTCAACCTGCCACAATCAAGCCTGCATGAACCTTCTGGGTGTGACTTGTGAGTTTTGGCCTTCTGATGCCAAATCTGAGAGTTTAGTCTGCCATTAAGAAACTCATTCTCATCTCATGCATTATTATGCTTGCTACTTTGTCTTAGCAACAATGAACTATAACTGTTTCAAAGACTTTATGGAAAAGAGACATTATATTAATAAAAAAAAGCCTGCATGCTGGACATGTACGGTATAATTATTTTTCTTTTTTTTTTTCCTTTTGGCTTGGAAATGGACATTCGAAGACTTAATGGCATGGCATTCATACTTTTGTTTCATTGCCTCATGACTTTTTTGAGTTCAGAACAAAAAACAAGTGCCACCCTAGAGCCTTCTTCCCATGAAAGTTTGCATCTGCTCCAAAACTGCTTTGAGTCACTCAGAACTTCAGCCTCCCATTGTAAATGCACTGAAGGCATTCCTTGTCAAAGATGCCAGAGTGGGTTAAAATTTTAACATGGCAAACATTGAAGAACGCTTAATGTTTTCTTTTTAATAAGAATGACGCCCCACTTTGGGGACTAAAATTGTGCTGTTGCGGAAAGCAGTCTAAAAATTATTTTTTAAAAAAAAGAAATCTGCCCCGTTATTTTCGGTTTGTTTTATTTTTATTAACTTTTTTTTCTTTTTTTTTTTTTTTTTGCTTTTGGTCATTGTCAAATGTGGAATGCTATGGGTTTCTAGTATATAATTTAATTCTAGTTTTTATAATCTGTTAGCCCAGTTAAAATGTATGCTACAGATAAAGGAATGTTATAGATGAATTGGAAAGCGTTAGGTCTGTTTAGCTGTAGATTTTTTAAAAGATTGATGCACTAAATTGTTTACTGTTGTGATGTTAAGGGGGGTAGAGTTTGCAAGGGGACTGTTTAAAAAAGTAGCTTATACAGCATGTGCTTGCAACTTAAATATAAGTTGGGTATGTGTAGTCTTTGCTATACCACTGACTGTATTGAAAACCAAAGTATTAAAAGGGGAAACACCCCTATTTATATCTGTAGGGGTATTTTACATTCAAAATGTATGTTTTTTTTCAAAATTAAAGTATTTGGGACTGAATTGCACTAAGATATAACCTGCAAGCATATAATACAAAAAAAATTTGCAAAACTGTTTAGAACGCTAATAAAATTTATGCGGTTATAAAAATGGCATTACTGCACAGTTTTAAGATTGATGCAGATTTTTTTACAGTTGTATTGTGGTGCAGAACTGGATTTTCTGTAACTTAAAAAAAATCCACAGTTTTAAAAGGCAATAATCAGTAAATGTTATTTTCAGGGACTGACATCCTGTCTTTAAAAAAAAAAATGAAACGTAAATCTTACCACAATAAATATAAAAAAATCTTGTCAGTTACTTTTCTTTTACATATTTTGCTGTGCAAAATTGTTTTATATCCTGAGTTACTAACTAACCACGCGTGATGTTCCTATGTGCTTCTCTTTCATTTTCAATTCTGGTTATATCAAGAGAAAGAATAATCTTCAATAATAAACTGCATTTTTTTTTTGATTCTGTACTCAGTTTCTTAGTGTACAGTTTAACTGGGCCCAACACTGCATTAGAAGTGTAAAATGCATCCTTTTCTCCAGAGGAAGGATTAATGGTGGAGTAGGGAAGCAATAATTCAGAGGCAAGCATAGGCTGTTTTGTGAGACGGGAGGCTAGTCCCCTTTAATAATTAGCAATATTTAATATAAATGTAAATTATGACCTCTCAAAATGCCCTCCCCCCTCCCCCAAGTTTTCAGTTTTCAAATGAGTTGAGACATTATTGCCCTCTGGTGAAAACAAGCAAACAAAAATCCCAAGCAGAAAGCAGGGCCTTCTCAGCCTGGCCTGAGCTTCTGACCCAGCAGCATGCCCATCCAGAGAGAAATGAGCCAGGGCAATAAGGCATGGCACAGGTTCCTGGGCGCATATGCATTTAATAGTAAAGAGAAACAGTTCTTGCCTTTAGCTAAAATTGATTGATTTTTTCTTTCTTTCCTCACATACCATGATTTTCTTGTTAGCAAGGCCTGACGAGATTTAACATCAACACTTTGAACAAATCAAAGTTGTTCGTTTTTTAACTTTGAAGATCATTTGTCTTAAATAGAAAAAAGAAAAACCTAGTACATATCTGGGTTTTAACTGTGTTATTAAGGCCTATTTCACTGCGAATATTTAGCCCAGGGCTTCTCCACTTGGACAAGCTGGCCATGATTTCAGATCACCTTAGCTCCAGAAATACAAGCAAAAAGTAGTGCCTTGGTAGAATAAAGGCTTTGCTTTGATTTACTGGCATTTACCCCCAAACAGGCTGTGGATGGGAGCTGACTTCAAAGATCCCTTGGAAAATCTTGGGCAACCTTCACTAGTAGCACTGACCTATTTTAAAATGATACGAATTCATGAAACTAATGTTACAAATCCACGCAGCCTGCACTCCTAGTCCACATCCCCTAGAACTTGAAGAGAATGTTCAACAAAGCCACCACTGTTTTGAAAATACAGCCAAACACCATGACTTTTGTTTTATTTTTATTTTGTTTACATTTTAAAAAAATGATAGTATTGCAACTCTGAAGGAAGGCCTTATTTTGAAGAAAACAGGTTAGGCTTGGCACTGCTCAGTTCTGGCCAGTTTACCATCTCGTCCTCCTTCCCCTTTTTCACAGCACATGAAGACAGTGTACACCCACCTTCCCTCATGTGCCAGTTTGGGTAGAGCTCCTAAATCCACACTTCATTTTGCTTAACAAAAAAGTCTTAACAGTAAACCAACTTCCGTGTTCTTGAAGTTAGCTGTTCTTCTCTGCTTCTGAGATCTTTTTTTTTTTTTTTGCTCTGATCCCAACTAGGAGATGCACAGTTTCCCCCTGAAGAAGCAGAAAAACCAGAAATGGAGATAGCGTGTAAAAGCGCAGCATCAGATAAAAGATTTTAGGCAAATACATTCCCAAATAAGAGTGATATTCAGGGTAGAGCTGTTGCTATTATCTCATGAGAAATGGTACATAGAAGAAAAACACAGTTGTGCAACAATTAAGCATTTTCATAGGACTCTGCACAAGGCAGTTTAAAGTATATATATATTTATATATACACATGACACACACACACACACACACACACACACACATATATATATATATATATATATATGTTTAAAAGCAGGTTTTGGCCCCAAATATTAGGAAGCAAAGTAGAGAGGTGCTAGCAAAAATGGGGTTTTGGTAGTTGGCTTTAACAGAAGTTTAACTCCTAGTGAAAGGCATTTTTAGAAATAACCATTACTAAAAACTTGGAAGTATAGTGTGAGTGGCAAACAGAAATACATCCATTTTCAACAAAGAAATCCTAAATCCTGCTGAAGTGCCCTTATTACAAATAAGTACCTAAATTAAAAATAAGTCAATAAATAAATCATATAAGGAAATCTAGCCTTCCCTTTACTCTGCATTTGAGTCTTTGTCTCAATAGTGTTAAAATTCCTTTCATTCCAATTACAGAACTGAGCCCACTAGCAAGTTGAAGCCATCAGGGGGATACACCACATTTTGGAAGCCCTAGCCACGAATACTTAACAGTGTGTTCACAAAATGAAATTTGTGAGAGAACTGTACATTAAACGTTTATTATTATTATTATTATTATTATTATTATTAGTTGCAGTCATGGAGAATAACCTGGCACTGATGTCTGTTTAGCCTCCTTTTTAAAGAAAAATGATCGCATTAGAGAAGAAGGCTATTAAATGTATAACATCCATACTAATTAACTATGCCTGTTGTCCGAGGGTCTTGCACGCAGACCCATAGGAACGCACGCTGGAGCTTCTTGCTTTATGATGTGCAAAACTGAATAGGCTGGATTGTCAACCTGTAAAATTAGTTTTAAAAATCCACTGAAAATTAAAAGATATAGAAATGTACATTTATGTGAAGGGAAGTTTCCCAGAAGGTAACAGCGAGCGTTTTTAAAGCATATGTAGGCATGCACATTCGCAACAGTACTTTTTCATGCTTCATTGTTTTTCTGGCAGATAATTTTACTAAGATGAAAAAAATACTTGACTCCCCCTCCCCAAGCAGATGCCCTGGGCAGAAGCTTTGGCAGCCTGAGCACCCTAGTTTTCTGGTAGGCCCTGGATAGTACTGTATTTATCAGTGATGTCAGACATGTTCATTCATCACAAGTAGCTATAATTGAAAACAGTGTGTGGCTAAACACAAAGTTAGTTAAACACCCACCCTCTATGCCCTTTGTT